ATACATACATTTAGGGATATATTTAGGGTCTGTGTGGAAGTATTACTTTAATATCTCCAAAGATGTTTCCATTAGAATTTGCTGTGACAAGAAGTGCACTCTAAAAGAGAAGAAAGCCAATACTGACTGCTGCATTTGCTTAGGTCTACAACCCCTGTGTGGTAGTTGATGAGGGAGGGGGGAAAGTAAAACCCCAAGCTGAATAGGCCCCCCATAGTTTCCAAGTAATGCAGTAAACAAATCTATGATGCTTGTTGAATAATCTTCCAATAATTGCAGTCATTAAAATCATCACACAGTCTACAGTCACCTTCCTTCCTTTGACACACCAGAGTCTTTCCTTTAATTGTTAATGCATTTTTGGCTCAGATAAACAGATCAAGGCAGGCTTAAAATATATGGCCCAGATACATCTAGCAGCAGAAAATTAGTTCTGTAGCAACTGCTTGGAGTTACACTCGATAGACTAGGGGTTTTCAGTTTCTCCAGTAGACCCTACAGGCAAGATGGATTTGCATCTCGTGCCACCTCTAAATAGCACCAATACTTCTGAGATGGAGTAAAGATGAAAGTTTCATTGGCCTATTGATCCTCCCTGGCTCTTTTACTTGCAAGGGTTGGGCTGGAATGAGGGCATTGTAGAACAAATATTAAATGAAAGCTCAACGGAAATTGTGGGAGAGTTTCTCAATTTTCAATTAATTTTCTCTAGTCATTTGATCTCAAGGCTGGTGCTTTTTAAAATTGAGTATGCGTTAACTATAAAAGATTCCCTTCTAATCAAAAGCTGCATGTCATTTGCACCCACAACTGACAAACTCCAACTGTGGGAAGGATTCACCATACTCAACAGGCACTGTGGTCTGTACGGCTTCCTTCTCCCTTGTTCATTGCAGGTGACTATGGTACACAGGGCAGCCTTTTTTTTTTTTTTTTTAAACTCAACTTATTCATGTATTTCCCCAGCTCCCACACCGTGCTAACCTGGTAATCATTGCTGTAGTGTAGGTCATGCAAGTGAAAAACATAATTAATTGCGCAAATGATTCAAAAAGGCAGTTCTGTGGGTTAGTAAATAAATAAATAAAGACAGGTAGGAGGAGGGCAGGTCAAATAACACGCTTTTTACGGGTTCCTCTCTCTTGCCTCTCCCCTCTCTCCGCCCCCAGCATCCCAGCACGGATGGCTGAGGCTTTGACACCCAGCGGCCAGTAGGGCCCAGGCGAGAACCTTCGGTTCCTCCTTCCCGGACGCCTCCGCTCCCGCCCACATCCTCAAGTCTCCCCAACTCTACCCTCACCCCACCCCCGTGCGGTATATCCGCCGCTAACTCAGATACTGGCCAAAGCCCCCGGGAGACTGGTCAAGCCACCTAATATTTGGAGTTTTTCAGAAGATAACTGGTCCTCTCCGACCGCACTCGGTTACTTGTGCGTTAGGGAGAAGCTGTCTCCGCTCCCTCCTCCACCCCGCACCCACCTCCGTGGCATAGGAGCTCCAATCCTTCGGATCAGTGCTAATGACCGAATTGTTTCCCCGGCTTTGCCTCCTAAACTTAGCAACTTGAGCAGTTGCTCTAGATCAAAGCTCTCGGTAAAGGCAAGATGGGGGAAACAATATTTGTTCAAAGGAAGTGAACTCTTCCCTTTAATTACCCTATTCTTCTTTATTAGGATTTCTATTGAATTTTTTTTGCAAAGAATTACGTTGATTTAACCATAGTGTATTTACGTTGTAAATATATTCCAAGATGAAAACATCACGGATCAATTGTAAAGGACCCTGATACATAATTTTTAAAAATCAGTTTCGGTGTATATGAGGTTCTCACCCCACTTTCGCTGCTCAGTCAGATTTGTTTATGCAGAATCGACATTTAATAGTGCTAATTGCACTCCAGTTAAATTGCCCTGATTGCAGAAAGGGAAGCAATTTTCGTGCTCTCTGTCTGGGTTTGGAAGAAATTGTTTTATATTCACCTCTTTATAAAGAAGTGGAGATAAGGCACCGGGGCCTTTGCACAAATTGCACTTAGGGGCTGACTGGCAGCATTCAGGCGCTATAATAGAGCATTATTTGGCCGTTTTGAATAATGTAAAGCGTTTGCTGAAAGCTATTCTCCTGAAAATTGCTTTAACTTTTAAAAAGGGTGATGATTCACTCCAAACCAGGCCTTTGTTACATTGTCATTATTTCCCCAAATGTTTTAACAGTCAGCTCAACACTTTAGCATAACACATTGATCTTTGTTTAAAAACTAGATTTTTAGAGGATGAAAAAATCTGTCACACAAAAAACTGGACTTCTTCAGAAAGATTTCCTTGGGGCCCCACCTTAGATTTAAAGTGGCTGGGGTGTTTGCCTGCGTTGGTTTGGAAGATTTCCCTAACTTTTGTGATCCCGACGCGTGTATCTAAAGGAATATCTCAGGGCAGACGTAGAGTCTGACAGCTGGAACTACAGGGGAAACGGCAGGATGGGGAGGGGAGGGGAGGACGAGGACGAGAAGAGGAAGGCGAACCGGGCTCCCGGAGCCCGAGGTGCCATCGTGAGCGGCTTTAAACGGTTGATTTGAAAATGTCACCAGTGCTAAGTGGCTTTCGGATTGTCTTATTTATTACTTTGTCAGGTTTCCATAAGGAGAGGGTGTGCTGGAGTGGGGGAGGAGGTGGAAGGGGGAAACCTCGGCCCTGCTCCTCCCGGAGCTGCACTGGGTGAGTCTGAAACGCCTCGCTGCCACTTAACAATTCCTCTATTAGTAAATCCACGCGGAGACTCTACAGGAAGCCGAGCAGCAGCCTCCCCTTCCAGGGCAGAAGTCACCTGTTGGGAACGGCTCCCGCGTACCCCTGCCGGGCTTTCTGCCTCTTCCAAACTGCCTGGATTCCCCCTCGACCTCCACCCCGAGTTCCCCGGGGCTTTTCACGCCTGCCCCTGTCCCCCGCGGATTTCCACCCCAATCGCTCAGTGCACAGCGCTTCATTACAGTCACGCGAGTCGTCTCACTCTCTCCTTTCTCTTTCTCTGTCATAATTTCCTGAGTGCTTTCTCCACCTTCAACCAAAGAGGAGGAGAAGGCGTTCTAAGCAAAGGTATTCTAACGAAAAGCCAACAATCCCTGTAGCCATCCCCACCCAGGGAGTGCACCAGGATGCAAGCAGGCTCCATCTTAGGGCCGAGGGAAGAGCCACGACAGTTGCACTTTTGGGCCAAGAGATTATTGCAAAAGAGGAAAGAAAGCACAATTCCACGTCCTCTTCACTTGATTTTCCTCCCCAGCACCTCATCTTTTTCACCCAACCACTTGAGGTTCATGGTTTAAAATGTCTTTTAAAAGGCAGGATGTGGTTTTGGAGGGGAATGTGGTGCACTAAAACCAGTACCCAGGTCTGTCTGAGGGCGCTGGTATTTCTCATTCAAAAGCCGCTCCTGGCTGCCCTGAAGCCAAGACCCAGGAAGAAGAAAAACAAACAGCTCAGCGGTTGCTGAGGGACTCCGAGAAGCGCAGTTTTCTGTTTTGAGGACCCTTCTTTTTAAACCGACAAGTCCGGGGAGGACTCCAGGATGCTTCCAAGTCTGCAGATTGTGGAGGCGCCTACATTTGGCCTCGTCCTCCGCACTCGCGGATGGAGGTCCCGGACAGAGGCTCCTTAACCACGTTCACCAAAGCAAGGCGCTGGGGTGGGGGAGGCGAGCCCACCTCTCAACAGGCGCCCTTTTCCCACAGAAGAGCACCTAGGCCCAGGCGGTGCGGAGTGGGAGTGGGCTGGAGATGGGACAGGAAAACTCGACTCTAGGCTGAAACGTGACACGCAAATCTTCACCGGGTTAAACAAACAGGCGAGCAAGCTGCAGCTTCAGCGGGGGTGGAGGTGGGGGGCGGACGCGGCTAGCGCCGGTCTCTGTTCCCAAAGTTGTTAAAACGTGAAAATAAGCAGCTTCGTGCAGCGTGTTGTACGGGCTGATGCCTCCCACCCCCATGCCAGCCCCCAGCGAAACACGGCAGATAATCAGCACGTCCCACTGTTTAGTCAGATTTGACAACTGGGTTAACCTGGTATCTAGGCGCTTGCGAAACGGTACAAAGGGTGCCCTCAATTACCATCAGAAGCTTCTGGTGTGAGTGGCACTTGCATTACCCACCGGGTCAGAGGCCAGAGCGACAATTAGGAAGTCACTTAGGCCACTGGGGGAAATGGTGGGATGCAGCAGGCTCCAGACCCTCCCGAGCCTGGGGGTGTAGAGTTGGACGGAGAGGCCTATTTCTCTCCCTTCGGAGGATCTGTCCCTTCGCGCTCCCTACTCAATGTGACTCAGAGTAAAACTGCATCCACTGGGAATAAGGAACTGAGTAGAAGATAAGAGACAATGCTAAAATCGCGAGCCATAATTAAATGGATTCCAGCTGAAGTTGTGCTCCGAGGCGAAAGCCTGGACACACAAAAGTGAGCGTTGACATTTGCGTCTCCACTTGGGCCTCGCTGGTGCGGCCTCCGCCTCGGCGCTCCCTTCCCCTCCTGCTTCCTTTTCCACAAGTGGGGAGTGGAGTAGGACTGTCAGTCCTAACTTGCATCATCTCGGGGTGCTTCGGGGGGCTTGTGACTCGGTCCCAACGGTACTTAAACCTGGCTCATTGCGTGTGTGTAAATTTTTAATTGCGCCGTAATCTCTTCAGGACCTAGCCCGCGACCCCCCCCCCGCCCCGGCTGCCATGACTGGCACGCGCCGGGAGCCCGGGCTTGGGCCCGTCTGTGCGTCTGATTGGCTGCGGGACAGCTCCCGTCTGCTCTGCCTGCGCCCTCATTGGGCGAGAGGCGCAGCCAGCGGCACTTCAAAGCGGGTGCTCCTCGCACTTAGGCTGAGTTTAGCCGGCGGGAGCCCGGAGTCTGCTCGGCGCGAGCGCGGGGACGCGGGAGCTGCGCGGGACCGGAGCAGTTCTCCCGAGCAGCCGCCAGGCTCAACCCCACTCCCGGCCCCGCCGTGCAGCCCAGGGACCTGCTATGGCCACGTCTATACTCGGGGTAAGTCGGAAGTGTGGCAACGCATTTGTGTGTTTTAACTGGAGTAATTTTTCGTTATGGCTTCTCCGGGTCTGCGGCTCCGGAGAAACTGTTGCTGCCGAACTGTAGCTTCAACTTCTTTTAGCACTTTCCACATTTTAGGGACTGATTCTTTCCAAGTTATTGGCACCTAGGAGGTTCCTTTGTAAAAAAAAAAAAAAAGAAAAAGAAAAGAAAGAAAGAAAAGGAAAAGAAAAGAAAGAAAGAAAAAGAAATGGTTAAGTAAGTCCTTTTAAATATATTTTTTTAAACCTAAAGGTTTCTTTTCTTTCCCTCGTGAGTTTTACCCCCTCCCCCTTGCTTCGGGGATTGTTGCAATTACGCGACAGTGGTGTTTCCAGAAAACAGCCTTAATCGGTTTGCAGTTCGTGTAGTTCATGTTAACAAACATTTACACTTACGCGGTTCCCCAGTTCTCTTGTGACTCAAATCCGTGGCTGGGTCGCTTCTCTATGGATTCTTGTTTTCATAATCGGGTGTTTGGGTGCATAAACATTTAAAACAACATTTTCTATTAAAAAAAAAGTCTAATAGTAGCCACCCTTGGAGGAGTGCCCCAAGTTTCCTCCGCCCCTGGGCCGCTGTATCAGTCGCTTCCTTCTTCACCCGGTGTTTGTAGTGGTTGTATTTACCTCCGTGCTTCATCCTGAAGGGCGGTTTGGGGGCATCCGTGAAGGAAAGGGCTTACGGACAGCAGAAGGCGAGAACCCCGAGTCTGGTTCTAGGTAGGGGTTGCAGCGACTGAGGCTGGAAGAACCGAGACATCTTTGATTTGTAGCCCTACCGAAAAACAACTTTCCAGCTCCAGGCCCCTGCCCTTGTGATCGCTTGTGCCCCGCGCGGGGCGCGGCGCATCTTCGGTGAGCCCGAGGGGAGGAGGCACGAGCCGGGGAGCCACGACCCCCCGGGACACGCCGCGGGGCGACGAGGCTGCTCACGGGTGCACTTTGTGTCTTCCTCCCACTTCTTCCTGCCCTCCTCCTCCTTGCTCCCTTCCCCCAACCCCCACTCTAGGAAGAGCCGCGCTTCGGAACGACCCCGTTGGCCATGCTGGCGGCGACCTGCAACAAGATCGGCAATACGAGTCCTCTGACTACGCTGCCGGAGTCGAGCGCCTTCGCCAAGGGCGGCTTCCACCCCTGGAAGCGCTCCTCGTCCAGCTGCAACCTCGGCTCTAGCCTCTCGGGCTTCGCGGTGGCCACTGGTGGCCGCGGCTCAGGCGGCCTGGCGGGCGGTTCAGGCGCAGCCAACAGCGCCTTCTGCCTGGCCTCTACGTCCCCCACATCGTCCGCGTTCAGCAGCGACTACGGCGGCCTCTTCTCTAACTCGGCGGCGGCCGCGGCGGCGGCAGCCGGGGTGTCCCCGCAGGAGGCAGGTGGCCAATCGGCCTTCATCTCCAAGGTGCACACCACGGCGACCGACGGCCTGTACCCGCGTGTGGGCATGGCGCACCCGTACGAGTCGTGGTACAAGTCAGGCTTTCACTCTACACTGGCAGCAGGCGAGGTGACCAACGGCGCGGCGTCGTCGTGGTGGGACGTGCACAGCAGCCCGGGCTCGTGGCTGGAGGTGCAGAACCCCGCTGGGGGGCTCCAGAGTTCGCTGCACTCGGGCGCCCCCCAGGCCTCGCTGCACTCGCAGCTCGGCACCTACAACCCCGACTTCAGCTCGCTCACGCACTCGGCCTTCAGCTCCACTGGCCTCGGCTCCTCGGCCGCCGCCGCCTCGCACTTGCTCTCCACCAGCCAGCACCTGCTGGCCCAGGACGGCTTCAAGCCGGTGCTTCCCTCCTACTCGGACTCCAGTGCAGCTGTGGCGGCCGCCGCCGCTAGCGCCATGATCTCGGGCGCCGCGGCCGCCGCCGCCGGGGGGAGCTCGGCGCGCTCCGCCCGCCGCTACTCCGGCCGCGCCACCTGCGACTGCCCCAACTGTCAGGAGGCAGAGCGGCTGGGCCCGGCCGGGGCGAGCCTGCGGCGCAAGGGCCTACACAGCTGCCACATCCCGGGCTGCGGCAAGGTGTACGGCAAGACGTCACACCTGAAGGCGCACCTGCGCTGGCACACGGGCGAGCGGCCCTTCGTGTGCAACTGGCTCTTCTGCGGCAAGCGCTTCACGCGCTCGGACGAGCTGCAGCGGCACCTGCGGACTCACACGGGGGAGAAGCGCTTCGCCTGTCCAGTGTGCAACAAGCGCTTCATGCGCAGCGACCACCTGAGCAAACACATTAAGACGCACAACGGGGGCGGCGGGGGCAAAAAGGGCAGCGACAGTGACACGGACGCCAGCAACCTGGAGACGCCCCGTTCCGAGTCCCCTGACCTCATCCTGCACGACTCCGGCGTCAGTGCCGCCCGGGCAGCGGCTGCGGCGGCGGCGGCGGCGGCGGCAGCGGCGGCGGCGGCCTCGGCGGGAGGCAAGGAAGCAGCGTCTGGCCCCAACGACTCTTAGAGGTCTGGAGTGAGGCGCGAGAGAGCGTGAGAGACACCGCGAGCGACCGAGAAGTTCGAAGGGCAAGCGAGCGGAGGACGAGCTGGGGCTCCGGTGGCGCCGCCGGGCCGGCGCGAGATGGAGCAGTACCCGACTCCCCAGCCGCTCTTCGCCGGCCACTCCAAGAGCTCCCTGCTGCTGTCCGTGCCCACACGAGAATCGAACGCATGGTCCAGGAACAAAAGGGAATCACTCTCCGACACAAACAACATTTTAACACTGCATACACAGACATACACACACACCGGAGACCTACAACCAAAAGCACGCACACTCGCGCATAAACACACTATTCGCACAAACTTCTCGAGAGAAGAGCAATACACAGAAACGCTCCCTCCTCTTCCACCACCCACCCCCTCTACCAACCTCCTCTTTCCTTTGCTCCAAAAACAAGCCACTACCCTGCGAAGGACTGTCAGAACATTTGCAAACAAATGGGACCTATAAAAACAGACCCTTTGTGTGGATTATATTATATATAAAAATGCTCCAAGTCCTGCTTGATATCTACTTACAATGAGACTTTTTTTTCCTAAAAAAAGGAAGCATCAAAAAAGGCTTAAGGTGAGAAATTAAACTGGAAGTCTAGTGACAGTTTCTCTGTATTTCATAACTTCTGTATAAATAGGGTTCAAAAGATTGTGTTCTCTTTTATTTTCTTGTAAATGTTCATTCGAATAGAGGGGTTTTTTTTTGGTGAATTCCTGAAATTCAGGGAGTTTTTTCTTTAATTTTCTGATGCACTTTGTGAAAGTCAGTATATATGTAAAAGATATTTAAAATGTTGAGTTATCATTTCACTCAAAAACGTAAGTAAGTTAAGGTCATCTAAAGAAATTAAATGCGTTTACCTGTATGAAGAAAATCTTGACATCATATTTTCATTTTGGTATTATTAAAGGACTCTGAACAATACACTTCCTTTTTTTAATCCTGTTCCTCAATAACCTTTATGTGGGTCGACTTTTTTTGGTTGGGAAAAATATTCCCTTAATGTTAGTTTTAGGTAATGTAAGGTTCATGTAAGTTATGAAAGCCATAAACATATACATTTTTTGAGGAGTCAAAGTTATTTATTTGTATATTAACAGCATAAATTAAATTGGGTTATAAGAATGTGTAGTTGTATTACTTACTGGGAGAGTTCTCAAAAGGTGACATTTTAAAACTCTGGAGCGCCTTTAAAAAAGCAAAGGTCTTTGGCAGCTTTAACTGAGGAGGTACTTAAATGTCCCGGAGGGGGTCAGCAAAAACTCCAGTGGGTTTGTTTGTTTTTTAAAAGCGATTTTAAAACAATTTGAAAGCAAAGAGCTTTTAAAAAGAAGTCTTTTAGTTTCCAAGGCTCTCTGTGTTGGGAGGCGACTCAAGGGAATAAATCGCTAGAGTCAATACCCCGGAAAAGACATTTCATGCCTAAATGAAAATCTTGTTAAATGTTATTAATTTTGACTTAGAGCACACAGCAGCCCCCTGTGCCTTGTATTCCCTTATTAGGGATTCATGTCTTATCAAATATCTAATTAATCTCCTAGACATCATTTGTTCTGGCCAACTTTATCTCAGCTGGTCCACGGGGAAAACTCCAAATATTCTCCGTGACAAAGCTCCCTTGAAGATCTTTTTAATTGTCTAAATTAACTGCACCAAATTTGCATGTCAAACGGTAAAGGGCAACCTGAGATAAAATGTAAACGTTTTAAAAGCCCCCAAACTAAGCACTTGATTTGATAACTAGCCGTTTTAATGTTATGGAAGACAACTGCTCCTTTCCTTTTCAAAGACGGCTGATCTATGCAAATAGTGAATTGGAAATGCCTAGGTCCCCGCGCCGTCAAATGGCCCTCGCAGGTTATTTGAATATCAGTGGCGCTGCCTCTGAAAAGGTTCAAGGATGCTCTCTGACTTCTTTGTGATTACTCAGTGCGGCGTCTTATTCTGAAGAAAAAAAACTCAGGAATAATTAAAGGCTGGGATCAGGCCTGGGAACACATTTGGGACAGGAATCTCATTTAGACAGTCTCTTTCAAAATAAGGCACAGTTAAATTGACCAGAAGGCAATTATTGAAATGAAAATTATTTTCACTCTCTTTGTCTTCTGACCACCAACTTAACAGCCTCAGTTTAAAAGAGAGGGAGAGACGAAAAGAAAATTGGTAAATGAGATAATTTCGCAATTTGAAAAAAAATGTTAATTTAGAAAATAAAGTGCATATTTACACAATAAAATATTTCTAAAAAGGCTCCCCACACAATAGGAAACACAAGCAAAGTGGGACCCAATGGGGAAAAAAATATTTTTGATTACTTTCCTTCTTGGGAACTTGAATGAAGGTTTTGATTTTTAAGGAAGAAAAATAAACAATTGTTATTAACAATCAACAAAATGTTTTGGAAACTCTGCTCTGAAAAGCCAAGTAACAAAGTAGCGATAAAACATAGAGCAAAGGTCCTCAGAGGGCGTTTGCCTTGTGAGGTTCGGTGACTTCTCCCCTCTCCTCCTTGTGGTCCTCGCAGCCTCGAATGCCCCGCTCTTCTTCCTCGAGTTTTTCTTTTCTTTGGCTATTTTCTCTCCTAGATCAAGTAGTTCACACAGGGACCCCATCCCCCATCCCATCCCATCCCATCCCATCCCCAGCGGTCCTTTGGTTCAGGTCTAGGCTTCTGGAGAGGCTGGCAGGAGCGCGTTTGCTCTGGGAGCTTTGGGTCGAAGCGCTGGAAGCCGAGAGGGTGGGTGCCTGGCACGTTTGGGGGTGCGGGCCAGCGGCGCAGAGGTGAGGATATAGTGGGTTTTCCTGAGGAACGAGGGCGCCCGGGCGTCTGTCCCAGGCAGCTTTGTTTCTGGTGGATAATAAAAGCAGATCAAAGGGCCTGACGGTGCAGGTCCCGCTGGCCTTGCGGCTCCCTCCGCAGCTCAGTGATCAAGGCCTATGCGCGCTGTCTCTGCCCCGCAGGTCAGCGGATGTCCATCACGGCGACTCCCGGGAACTGCGGGCGGTGGCCGGGGCCCGAGCGTCCAGGCCGAGACCGGGGCTCGCGGAACATGACCTGGAGGAAGTGGGGTTCCTGGCCCCCGGCTAAAACCAACAAGCGAAAACAGGCCCCAGCCCTAGGGGCCCTAGGGGGCGCTGGGAAACCTTGACCTGGGAGGTTGAAGACCAGCTCAGGCCGAGCAAACTGGAGAGAGCGTGCGTGGGAGGAGAGAGCCCGCAAGAGGCGGCTTAGGTCGCCACCTGAGGGGGCCGAGTCTCCCCAGGGCCGCCTCGGGGCTTCAGCGGGCTGGGCCGCTCTGGCTCCGGGGCCCGGGAGGAGTGGGAAGCTGCGGCCTCGGGTCCGGGCTCCGACGAGGGCCGCTGCCTAAAGGCCGGTGTGGGGCGGCGGGGCGCAGGCAGGACCCCTGAGTCCCACTCAGGCCCGGGTGCGGGAAAATGCGATTTCGTTTTAGCCGGTTTCTTCCAGCATTTCCTGCTCTGTGCCTTCTTCCTGCGCAGCAGAGAAACGAAGACCAAGTTTCCCCGGCCTTGCGTCTACGTAACCCTAATCTACACCTTCCCCTGGTGGTTTTTTTCCCTCTTCTTTTTCTGGCCTTACTTTTCCCTCCTTGGAGTGAATTGGACCCTACCTGATGAGGAAAAAGAAAAAAAATTTCTTTCCTCAAGGAGGAAAAACATTATTCTGACGAGATTAGATTGTGCACCTGAACTGCGTGTCTGGACATTCCTTCAAATCGTTACAAGTCGTGTAAAATTGAATTTCTTTTTATTCAGATGGAAACTATTTATTTTAACTCTAATCTTATTTGCATCTATTATCTGTATTCACCAAGGCTCTCTCCCACTACAAAAATGCAGATCAAGTAAATCCTACATAAATCCCGCCCATTTGTGTAATTGGTATACTAAGTGTTTATTTTAAGTGAGAATAATTTAGCTACAAATTTTCTTAAGGAATAACATTCTTAACACATTAAAAAACTGAAAACTCTGATTTGCTTTTATGTTTGACAGTCGCTCTTGATTCCGTTAAGAGGAGCTTGGCGCGTGCGGCTCGCGGGCGCCATCTAGAGCTCCGCGAGGGGAAAGCCGCGCTGTCCGCCCGGTTCGCTGTTATTAGCGCCGGGAGACCAGCGCCTGTCGCCAGCGGCAACAATCCTCCGACGCAAGAAAAGAACAGCGAGCTTTTGTGTTGGGGGATGGGATGAGGGTGGAGGTGAAGGAAGGGAGAGCCCTGCTTTTAGGGGGCACTGCGTAGCAATGGCCGGTTCACTGCTCCTGGAGAAGGAGGCCGTTTCGGAAACGTGCTAACGGACAATCTAAACAAAATAACGCCCTGCTTGGCCCTAGTCCTAGAGTTGTTGCATCGAACATCCCTTTCAAGGCAACTTCCTGGTCTTCCGACTCGGAGTTGAGCCTGCTGGGTGCTGTCGGCAGCGACGTGGACCCCGGGATGGGGACAGGGCGTGGACGCAGCCCCGGTGCTCTTCGCCCAATGACCCCAGATCCGAGGGCTCCCGGTCCTCGACGCCCGCAGACACTATCTGGACCGGCCGGAACCTAGCTGATTAAAGCAGGCAACCAGATTCCCGCGTCCCCGGATCCCCTTTTGAAGGGGAGGAAAGCGAGGGACTTGCAGTTTTCACCAGCGCGGGGCCGGGACGGCCGAAGCGGTCTCCCGCCTCGCGGGCGTCCTCCAGGCGGCGGTCCCGCCGGAGTTGAGCGCTGGGGGCTGCTGGGAGGACCGGGGCCCGGAGGGGCGCGCAGGGCCCCGAGAGCCAGAAGCCCCGAAACCCCTCGCCCCAGCCCCTCCCAAAGGGCCCTCACTTCCTGCCGGCGCAAGCGGACCCCCTTTGCCCCCACCTTTTCCCTTTGAAACTCAAATCTAAAATCGGATAACAGTCGGGGGCGTTGACCAATTTTCTCTCCTCTCTGAGCATCAACCTCCCCCCACCGCCCCTTTCCCT